ATTTCCATCTGTGTCCGTGTATCGTACTATCTCATCGATGATAGCCCAATCTTGTGGTAGTTCTCCCAGTTCTGGAAATCTTTGTCTGGCTAATCGTGATAGCCCTTTCTCCATTTCTGGGTCGTCTTTATCTGTCCAAATAATTATGTCACTTTCTTTGGGTGCCGTTAGAGGGTTTCCTTGAATCAATTTTGTGTTTTCGAAGAGATCCTTCGCTACTGCATCGTCTTTTATTTTTTCAAATTCATCATGCCGCTGGGATGAAGTGTCAGTGAAGAGATGTCGCGTGATGAAATAAATAAATTAATAAGAATAAAACATCAAATTAATTTGCAAAATTTTAATAAAAAAATAAGAGATTACAGTTTTCTACTATAAACTAACATTATTACCGGTAGTTATCGCTAGTATAAAAAAATCGAGCGCGTAATTTCATTTACAAAAACATTCGAAATAATCAAAATCTACTCCTATGTGAGGTATTTCATCAATTACCAGTACTTCCTTTCAATTCCTCACTAGCACCCTAAAAAATCATATTTTTTTTTTAGAAGAGTCGAGAAGTTGAAACAAACCTAAAATTCTCTTCTCATTCTGCTTAAACTGGTCTTTAACCTCCTCTAAAGTCTTATCCGCATCCATGACCAGTACCGGAGTCTCACTATTCTCCTTCATTAACCACTCCTCATGACTCTGATGCAAATCTCTCAAATAATCAAGTGAGATTCTCCGCTCCTCAGGCCTCCCTCGGGCTTTAATCCTCTCGTAAACCACCTCAGGTGTGCTCCTTAAATAAACTAACTAATAAAAACACCGATCAAGAGCTCCCCTACCTATCAAATCTAAATCAATATTTATATTATTCTGAATCCATTGATACCACTCATCAAGAACGGCATAATCGGGTCCACTGAGATAGCCCCCTTTGTGGGCCAACTCGACGAAACAAAATCGGTTGTTCTGCAGAGAGCGTTCAAAAATCTGGACAGTGGTGTTGGGGTTTTTGGGCTTCGAAGTTTGGACTTTGAGGCGTGATAACTGGACGTAGTTTTGGAAGACTTTGAGCCACTGAGGGAAGTTTGAGTACATGAGGTCCAGAAGGTTGTCTCCGTTGACGTTGCGCCAGGACTCGATTGGCTCCTGGAAAAGTTTAAACTTACAAAAAAGGGAAAAACCCAAGTAACTTACCCCATAAGTCTCGATTCCCGAAATCCGGCTAAAATAATCGATAAGAGTCGACTTCCCGGCCCCTATATTCCCTTCAATGGAGACCCGGAAGGGCCGTTTACCCACACTTTCCATCGTTTGGCCAATTTTCCTGTTTAGCAAGTTTAAATCCCGTTTCCTGCAAGGTCATTCGAATTTTTTATCTTTATAGACTTTGTACGTGTGGTGCGAAGCAAGACGCAGTTCCGGTGAAATTGCCAGTTGTGATTTAGGTCATGATGAGTGTTTAGAATACAAAGAAAGTGCAAGAACTTCTGTCAAATTCAAAGCGTAACAAACTTTCGTGCTGTCATAACCTAACTTTTGGTGATTTTGCAAATAATTTTGTCAAGGGGACAATTTCGGACTTGCAATACGGGAAAATGTGGTGGTTGTGGAAAAGTACAAATAATTTACCTGAAGCCACGGGTGAGTATCGACGGGAATATCAGTATTTTCCTACATCCAATTAACCTCATTTGGTAATTGTCAGTTTGACAAGTGACAGATTTTCCCGCGTTTTGGGGAAAAACTCAAACCTAAGCAGGGTGTGAAAAAAAATTAAAACAGAAATTAATTTTTTTATATTTTGGGTTTTTGTAAGGGTATTAACGCACTTGTTTGGGTGCAGCTTACTAGCGAGCGTTAACAGCCTAGTGTATTTTTTGTTTTTAATGTTGGTGACAAGTAAATTGCTTTCAATAAAATTAAAAATTTCTCGAATTTTCAGTGGTGAACATGAAAAAATCTTGAGAATTTGGTTCTAGGTTAGGCACAATGACAAATGATAGTTCGAGTAGAATTTTTCAACGCTTTCATGAATAACACTGCTACGTGTCACCAACCCACCCAAAATTTCCTAAATTATTTTCTTTTATAAACAGCATAAGAAGTGCAAAATATTTTTTTTATAAAAACTCGTTACAGAGGGCCATTTAAGCAATCGTTCATTAGCTCAAATTCAAACAGCTAACTTCATTCTGTTTTTTTTTTCTATTTTTTTCATATTATTGCAAATCATATTGTTTCTGGAAATTTTCGGTATCGCTAAAAAGTGTATTAATTAATACCTATGTTAATATGGCAATTACGTAAAATCCATGCATTGTTTCAAATCCCTTATTTAAAAGGTTAATTATGCAAAACTTTCTCATCTAAAGTGACTGTTTTAATTTGTAAGCTTTCCTTTTTATATTATTATCTATGACGATTCAAGTTAAACAAATACTGATTTTTTAAAAACTCAAGCCAAGATATATTCACGCTATAGTATACATATAATAGAAAATTAAATTTTCTTTCCAAAGGTACCAAACATAAAAGGTTACTACCAATAAGTCTGGAGTTATTGGCAATAGATCGCTCCGGGTGCCAAAAATCGACCAAAATCTTAACAAAAATTTATTGGCAAGAAGCCAATCTTTTTTCACCAAAATTTCGACTTGGTGATTTTTGTTTAAAAAACCGACTAAGTATATTTTTTAGGGCCATTTACGCCCGGTTGCATGGACGTCATGCTCGAGTATAGCCAGAATGGCATTTTCATGCGTCTCTACTACCCCACAAACGAAGCTAAGAAGGACCCTGTAATTGCAATTTTTTTCCTAATTACATAATAAACAATTTTTTGTAGAGAAATTTCCACCGTTTTGTCCCTTGGATCCCCTCTGCGAGTTATTTTCTCGGCCTTTCAAAGGTCTTAATGATCTTCCCGTTCATAATCCGATTCGTGTATTGGTGGTGTCGTAAGTTACTAAATTACAGAGTGTGCCAGAACTCGCGCTATGTAAGGTAAGATACCTGGAACATGGAAAAATATATTAAAAAAATTCTATCTATAAAAATTTCCAACTTATGAGAGTTTAAATTTTGCACTTTGGCTCTATTTATTTCTGTTGGAAAAATAATATACCAAGTTTTTTTGCTACAGGCTATTAGAAGAGGAAACAAGGAAGCTGTAGCCTAAATTGTAACTCTGTTTAATGTTATTTGTGGCTTTTATTGTACCTTTACTAAATAATTATAAAAAAACATACAGGGTATCCCAGCGAGTTGTAAAAGACCATTAGTGACCTTTAAATGGTAAAATTGTATAGGACTTTGATAGATACTAATCTAGTATCTATCACCTAAAATTATTTTCAACCATACAGCATGTCACAAAAATAAGTTACGATACAAACTTGTGTTTTTTTTTAAATGTTTCTAAAATGTTTTCCAAAAATATTTCAAAAAGTTGGGGGTGCCATTTAAAATTTTAAAGTAGTGGTGGCTAGCGACTAAGGGAAGAATCCTAAAATGTATTTTATGTTGGTTTTGAATTCTCCCATCGCAACCCAAACTGACACACACATTTGTTTTCAAAAAATAATAATTTACATAAATTAAAGTAATATAAAAAACATGATAGTATTTTGAGTACGAAATTTTATTTTGTTTTTGAATTAAGCGATTTTTTTTTGTCAAAATTGCAATTAATGAAAAAAAATTGAAAAAATTAACTATGAAGTAGATAGTTGTAATCCTTAGATCATAACTTTCATGAGAAAAATGGTTTTATAGTGGGTTGCCATTTAAAAAAAAAATATTTTTTTGTAGAACTCAAAAACAGAAGAAAATTTCGAAAAATTTTATTCTTGATAAAACATCACATTTTTATAGCACTTTATCATTCATCAATTAGTTTTTCCAAAAAATAAATAGTTTAAGCTAAAAACGTTTGGTTCCATACTTTTTATTCACCTGGTATAGGTAGGTCAAATTTCAGCCGATTACAATGCTTCCCTTTTAGGGTAAGGAAAGTAAAAGACATAAAAAAAGTCAAATGTCAAAATTTTTTGACAGATAGAATTTTTTAAACGTTTTTTTCGATGTTCCTGGTATTTTATCTTACCTGAAATTTATCTCTGGGGCTCGAGTTCTGACACACCCTGTATGTAATTAAAAAAAAAATTCCCCGTTTTAGACACAAACATCGTCCCCGCCTTGTACGGAAGTCGCCCAAAAACCGACCAAAAACTAAAATGTGTTGTTTTATCCCACGGATTAGGAGGTTACAGGTCATTGTACAGCAATACATGCTGTGAATTAGCCTCGAGAGGCTTCCTAGTGGCAGCATTGGAACACAGAGACGGCTCCTCTTGCTACACTTATTATTACAAATCGAAGGAGGATGCCCGAAATCAAGTCACCACTGACATCGAATATGAGCCTTTTATCTTGGGAAAAACGCACCACAAGCAGAGGAAACGCCAAGTGGAGTATCGTGCCAAGGAGTGTGGGCAAGTCCTCGACTTCCTCATTGATTTGAACAATGGGAAAGTGCCCCATAATGTGGTGTGTGATGTCCCCTCACGGCGGGAGATCGATTTCGATTTGGGAGATTTTGTCGGGAAACTGGACTTGGAGACGATTACAATGGCGGGACACTCGTTCGGTGGAGCTACGGCCCTTTTGGCTTTGCACCAAAGAAGGGAGTTTAAGCAAGGGGTCCTACTGGACCCCTGGATGTACCCCATCAAAGACGATGGGTTGGAGGCCAAAATCACCCAACCCTTGGTTTTTATCAACACACAGACTTTCCACATCATGAGCAATGTCAGTTCCATGGCGAAATTTTTGACAAGCGACGACCGTACAATGTTCACAATCTTGTAAGTTTTTTTTTAATGAAAAAATAAAACAAGAAATAAACTGAAATAAAAAAATAATATAAACTGATTGGGAGGAATTATATTTTTAGCTTAAAACGTGTCTAAGGGCTTAAAAAAGGCAAAATTAATGTCACTTTCGACTTAATTTAGTGATTTTTTGATTTTTTATTATGTCCGTAATCATTATTTTCTTGCTGTTACATACTTTATATAACATGTCATTTATTTTTCTGTTTTTTTTTTTTAATAGCTGAGATTTAATCTTTTAATGAATATTTTTCGTTGCAGATAGGGTCCAATTTTTTTTATTTATTTTTTTGTGTTTCAGGCATACCACTCATGAAAATCAGACCGATTCGGCCCTAGTGGTCGGCTATTGGCTCAACTGGTTCATGAAGAAGTTGGAGCCGGTGGTTGCACTCAAAATTAACAATAGTCTCATTCTCGTATTTTTAGATAAGTTGGTCAAATGTCTTAGTGACGTCACTGATTGTCGGGAATTTCTCAAGGAGCAAGAATCTAATCTAGAACAGGGTCTTACACGACCTTGGATTTAAATAATTTTTTGTTATTTTATTGGTTAATAAAACACTTGTTGATTGATTTATTGATTATACGTCTTATTTAGTTCATCCTGTATTGACAATTCACCTCCTGGCGACATTTCAGTCGTGTTACTCGCTTCCACTAGAATTTTATTCAAAAGTCGGTCATTTTCCTCCCTCAAGGCTTGCATACTCTTCTCATTGTCCTGAAATAGTATATTAAAACACCAGTGTGCTTTGTTTTTAGAGAATCTAGGGAATTTTGTATCAAATGGTTGGCATTCTCACAAAAATTCGGCATTGTAACCAACATGAAAAACGCAAAATACACTAGTTAACGCACCCAAACTCAAAATAGAAAAAAAAGATTTAAAACTACTCAATTGAGCCAAATTTTACCTCAATCGTCTTCTTGTACTCCTTTCTGATTTCTTCCCTAGTCGCTGTGGCATTTTGCACTCTCTCCATTGCGACCTTCGGGGGCAAATACTTTTGATTCACTCCCAGAATCGACTGCAATTTGTCCTTTCTTCTTTGCTCGTCTTTAAGTTGCTTCCTCAACATGTTGGTCTCGACCAACAAAACGGCATTTTCTTCAGTCAATTTCACTTTATCGGAACTTAAAGTCGACGTACTTTTATTGACTTGCATCTGAAGACTTGACACAGTTCTCTCTAAAAACTCCCTCTGTCTCAAAAACTCGCTCTTCACTTCTGTATCTTCAGCTTGAGTCAGTTCAAAATCTTCATCGATGTTAAACTTGTGGTACATTTCCTTCACTGTTTTTATTAAAAGTGGAACATTTTGAATTTGACCACTTGCGAGAAAAATGTCAGTTTTAATTTTCTTCAAAGCGCGATTCATTGCTGCATTCTTCGCGATTTGTTTCTTCACTTCGGAATCTGACGCGTAGAGTTTTTCTCTCAACTCGTGGAGTTGTAAATCAAGACTCAAGATAACTCTTTGCAAATTCTCGAGTTCTTTGACCATAGCATTGATTTGTTCGGTTTGTTCTTGAATCATTTGTTCCCGAGGCTCGATTTGTGACTTCAACTCTTTAATCTTGAAGTCAAGAATGAACTTAAACTTCTCCAATTCTTGATTCTTCCGTTTCAAATCAAAGATGCGTTTTTCCTTATCTTGAATGGTGGCGTCTCGTTCCGAGATTTCCTTCTTCAAATCGACGATATCTTTCTCAAGATTGATGATAGTTTTCTTCAATTTGGCGTGATCGTGATCCAAAGTATAGACTTTACTCTTCAACTCGTCAATTTCTTTCTGCGAAGAAATCAATTTCTTCTTCACAATCGCCGTTTCTCCTCGAATCTTCACATTCAACTCTTGCTCTTCTTTGAGTTCTTTGGCATGAGCCGCCTTCAATTCGTAAATTTCTCGGTCGGCATCTTCCTCTATTTGTTGCTTGATCAATTCGTGGGCTTTAGTTTTACGCGCAGTTTGCTCAACCAACTGAAAAACGCACTCAAAATGCGGTTAACAAACCTAAAAATCACCTCCTCAAACTGCATTTGTTTCTCCTCCAACTTTTCGAGAAAACCATTTGTGATTTTCTCCTCCGATTCTTGCTTAGCTTTCCTCAAATCGTCCAATTCTTTCTCGTAGTAACGTCGCATCTTTTCCATTTTCTCCTCCAATCGCAGGTATTTTTCATATTCGAAAATTAATTTCTCGTTGTAGTTGGCCTCCAATTCGCGCACAAACTCCTCATGGTCCAATTTCATCTGTTTGATGTCGAGGTTGATGTTGTGGATCTCTTGCACGTGATCATTTTCGAGTTGCTGAAAAATTGCAAACATTTAATTTTTCTCTAATTTTATTTTGTGTTTTATGTAATTTTTAGAGAGTTAATAAAAGACTGCGTTCTGAATGAGTTTTCTTTTACTCTTTTGCACAAATGTTAGTAATTTGATATTTTAATTATTGATATACTAAATTCAGTCAAAAATGATAACACTATTTTTTATGTATATTTGAGCATTTTGCACGTTTTTTGGTTGTGTAGAAACTCAAATGCTAAATTTTCTCGAAAACAAGTTGAAAAATCGTCCAAGGTAAAAAAAATTGCTAAAATGGGTCAAAATGTACATTATTGTGTATGTTTTTAGCCAGAAACAGAACTATTTTGCAAAATTTTGTTAACAACAAACCGAAAATTATTAAATTAGGTCAAAAGTAGTGGCAATTTTGCATTTTTAGAGTGCTTTAATGTCATTTAAACAATGAGACAAAAAATTATACCAGGTGACTCAACTTTTATTCGATCACCTCAAAAACCCTCGTTCTAATTAAATTAGAATTGCAGAAAATTTTATTTGTGATTTTTGCAAATCCAATTTGAATTAAGTCAACGATTTTTTGCCCTACATGTAGATTTAAATAAATACTGGGTTTTTCTTAATATTGCACTAAAAGTTTCTGTATTGCAAGACTGAGAATTCGATTTTTTTATTATTTTGCACAATTTTTAGTTTTTCAACTAACTCTTACAATTTCATAATTTCAAATCCAGTATTGCTTTTTTTTATTTATTAACCGAGATTTCACAATTATTATTTTTTAATCAAATTAAAAAAAGATCACGTGATGTTTGTTTATAAGCGTTGTTATGTTTTAATTACTTGCAAAGCGTCCTGATTATTTTATGCATTTACTTACTAACTATAATGTTGCTCTTTACTCTCAATCTAATGAAATAGTATGTTATTTGAAATAAAAGTAAGTTTTTGTGTGTGAACTAAATATTTGCTCACTTTGATAACTTTTACTCCTAATAACGTAATGTACTATTTCAAGTTTCTTTCTGGATATTTCTGAAAACTTCTATATTTTATTTTTATTAGAAGAAATAAAAAAACCTATAAAATCAAATTTTTGATTTTACTATTTTTTAATTCTTTTAATAAAATTGTAGCTGCTGATAAATTCTTTTTACAACCTCTTTTTATAGTAATTTTTATTATTCTTCACTGGAATTAATTTAAAATTTCCGGGAATGTCTCTCAATTTTCTCAAAATGAGTTAATTACTTCGTTTTTTTCTTTTAATTCCTCGATGGCTTGACAATACCCGGAATGAATCTCCTTCATCCTCAAACTGTTAACGACGTCGTTTTGACGCAACTGATACGCATATTCCGACTCAAGTTCTTTCAATCTCATTTGAAGATTCTTCGTTTGGGCAATTCGTTCTTCAAGAATTTGACGCGAAATGAGGATATCCTTGGACGGCTGAAAATCCTTATCCATTTTAATAGCTTTCCCTTCAGTATTTAACAGTTTCCAAAAACAAATCGTTCCTTCATCTGAACCAGTAAAGAGATACTTATCATCATAAGACACCAACATCTACCAAAAACATCACCAAAAATAAAAATTCACTCAAAATTTTTGACTCACTTGTGTGACAACATCAGCATGGATGCTATACTCATGATACTCTGCTTTTTCCAACAATGGCAACTTAATATTGTAGACAGTTCCTCCATTCCCAGACACGAAAAGCATTTGGTCGATTTTTGACAACACCATTGAGTCCAAACCGGCCGTTGTGACCAATACATCTCTATGAACATTCGAATTCATCAACTCTCTGATATGCCCATCATTTGCAACAACAAAAATTGATCTTCCATCAGTGGTAATTGCAACTCCTTTAAATTCGCATTGTTTCATTATTGTTTCAGATAATCTCTTCGAATCCTGAACGACCCATTCATACACAGCCCCCTCACTTCCACACGAGGCCATTTTCCGGTCATCAGCAGTCCAAGACATGTCAAAAATCCGCCCATTGTGCCCCTTCAAATTATACAACATTTCGAAAGTAATCGTCGAGTAAATTTGAATAACATTCCCATTGGCGGCAGCAAACAAATAACCCATTTTACTAAAGACACACATTTTGCACACTCGAATGTTAAACTCTCTAGTCATTTCAAACTCCTCGATCATGACAGTCAAAAATCGCAACTTATCCGAAAACCCAACAATGGCATAAAGCCCACTTGGATGCAATGCAACTCCATACAAATCGTCTTGAAACTTTTGCATCAACTCTAATTCCTCTGTTTCATAGTTCCAGATTTTCAAAGTTCGGTCATTGCGACCGGCTGTGAGCAAAATGGGCTTCCAATTGCACACCGCCATGGACCCAATGGGTCCATTATGCAGGGCAGACCCATATTCGGTAAACCAACTCTCCACAGCGGTGGTAATTGCAGAGTCTTGCATCCAAAGAGTCGCTTGGTAAATCTGACTCTCCTTACAAGTGACCATCAGTTTGCCTTGGGTTGGGTTAATTGCAACGCAATTAACGATTGTGATTTTTCCCTCGTCTTCTTCCTCGTATTCCCGGGTTATGGTATGATCAGGGATTTTGAAAATATTCCTTTTGATGAACTTGTGAGGTGTTTCCATTTCGTACAAATGTACAGTTCCGGTCAAGTAACCGAATGCGAAGCCTCGAGGGAATTGGATTAAGGATCGGATGCTGTAATCCTCCTTGGAGTCGATTAGATCGTCACTGAGGACTTTGAGACTGGTTTGGGACGATTGCTGGAGTCTAGATTAGAAAATTTTAGAAATTTTGATACGACCAAAAGTAGGACCATATTTTTGTCGACTCACTTTGGTTTACGACTTCTGTGTGCATTGAAGGGACAAAAAATCGAAACTTACAATTACAGAGTATAACTAAAGACTTCGGGTCAGTGTGTGAGAAAGAAAGCGGTTAATGAGCTTTAGTAAAGCGCTCAGATTGATTAAATAATTAATATTTTCGATAATTCTAGAGTAAATAAACATTAAACAGTCATCTAGTACATTACACTGCTTACAAGTCTGAAAAAATATATTACAGTTTTTTTTTTATTTTTTGAAAAGATCTTGCAAAATCAATGAGAGTCTGTTTTTTATTCAAAAACATGCTTAATCACTTGAAAAATGTAAAAATAACATTATTTTTGTCCTAATTTTTGGCTGCTTTGTTTTTAAAATAATTATCCGAAGTACTTTTCAGCGTTTCCAGCTGAAAGTTTTGATAGAACCCTCAAAAAAAGCACAAATTATATAATTTTCGATTTAGTGTGGTAAGTTTTTTGTTCGTTTTTAAGAAATTGGGCAAATTGAGATTTAAGTAGAAAAACATACTTCAATAAGGTTTGAAAAAGGCAAAAATGACTCTAATGTGATAATTTTTAGTATAATTTGGTACATTTCTGGCTTGTTTTAATGAAATTATGCGAAATACTTTCGTTTTCAACTGAAACATTTTTTAAAACCCATAAAAAACAAAAATTGTATAACTTTTGACTTACGTATTGTTTTTTTTTCAATTAGAATTTGTTTATGTGTTTTAACAAGATCTTGCAAAATAAATGTGTTCTTAATTCAAAAACATGTTTAATCTCTTGAAAAAGTTAAAAATATTATCATTTTTGGCCTAATTACTTGAATTTTCGGTTGCTTTGTTTTTAAAAAAAATATCCAACTTGGTTCTCAGCGTTTTCAGCTTTGATAGAACATTTAAAAAAGGTAAAAATAATATAATTTTTGACTTAATGTGGAAATTATTTTTAAATAATTTTTGTTTAAATCGAGTCAAACACTATCATTACTTCAAAAAATAATTTATTTATATTTTAAAGCAGTAGAGAAAAAAATTATAAAATGTAGGAGTATTAATTTTACAAAACACAGAGTGATTCTAAAGTGTCGAGCCAACTCTCGAATAATGATAAAACACTTTCAGTTAAGCATAAAAACGAATTCAGATTTTTTTATTTCAAGCGTTTCAAACAAAACTGTCAATTTCAATATTATCATGTAGGCATCTTAGTTTTTTTGTTTATTATGTTTATCAGTTTTATCACCACCCAAGAGATGGTCCAACACTTTTGAATTACCCTGTATATAATAAAAACAATAGACAAAGTAATGCAATAACATTTTTTTTAATAAACACAATTATTATTTATTGTTTTTTCAATTTTTTCGAAACTAAAAAATCGTCAAGGCCAACTTTATGAAATAATGTATAATTTGTCTTTTGTAGCCCTCAAAAGTTTTTATTAAACAATCGATTTTTTTAAAATAAAATGTAATATTTCAGAATTTGTTAGCAAAAATATTATTTGTGGAACTTTGAACGTTCAGAAAACTGAAACAACTAAAGATAAAAAAATTGTAACTACTATCTTAAGAAAAATTTAATTCTCTATAACCAACTGACTGCCATTTTGTTGTAAATATTACCGTTTTCGATAAATTTCTAATCAAAGAGGACGATGTACAAATCGTAAACTAGACCTGAAATTTTATTAAACTCATTTAAAAATACTGCAATTTTTTTTTCAGGCTTGTAGACAATTTACTGTACTAGATGACTATTTAATGTTTATTTGGTTAAAAATTCCCTAAATCTAAAATATTAATTATTTAATTAATCGGAGCCCTTTAGTGAATTCGCACAATGACATTTTAAAACTTAAAAATTGACTTTTAAGAAAAAAGTTATTCAAGGTGGCTTGTCATTATGTATGTTTATGAAAGTGACTCACTCGTCTTTTGGTTTCAAGTCCATGACTGCTAGATCAGCGGCCGAAAAAACAAATTTTAATTCTCCACTTTCTATGACTAAAAGCCGGCCATCGAGGGTCCCCACTAAAAGTCTGTCTTGAGTTAACCACACAGCTGAGGTGAAGTTCCATTGGTCCCCTTTACTGTACCCGTATTGTCTCCACGTGTAGTCAGTGCAGGCCAAAATTCGGATTAGCCCATCCCCGACAAGGGCTAAGAGATTAGCATCATTGGGGTTGCAAGCAATCTGGAAAAATCCCTGTCTTGGTGGCAAAAATTGGGCAAAAATAGCCCCTACCTGCCTCACATACCCCGTATTGCTTATATTATTAGCCCTAGCACTGCTTTCAAGTTTGCCCTTATCGCATCTGAAGTAGTACAAGGTCCAGTCAGGCTCCCCACTCACACAAACCAAGTATTTCGAGTCAAAAGTAAACGCAACTGCTGTAAACCTCTCAGATAGAGTTTCCTTATCAGTTGGGAGATTAATTTGGCGTTTCTTTTTGTATGTCAAAGGACACCAAAGGGTTATGAAGGGTTTTTCCCCCGTTTCGACTACTGCCACCAGCTTTCTTCGGGAAAAACACATTTGGTGAGGAAATTTCAAAAAGGACTTACTTGTTAGGACTGACTACAATTTCAGTGACGTTTTTGCCCTTATCAGCGAGTTTGATGTATTTTTGGCGTTTTTGGTTGAGGTTGTGGATGGTCAAAACTGCCCCCACGGGGTAGATGATTTCTTCGTCGGTGATGAATTGGGCGTTGCCTTTAACATCAGTTCTTAAGCCTAAAATGAGACGGGGTTGAAGGATTGGTAAAGTTGACATAATTGACGTTTAGGCGATTTGTCGATTTGAGCCGTTGCTAAGGGCGTAACCAAATGTTCAAAAAACAGAAAACCTTACATTTTACTAAAAAGAAAATTAACAAAATTTAACAAACAAATACTAATAACGTGTATGATCGCCTCTTGCTCTTATACAAGCTCTAATTCTTTGTGGCATGCTTTGAATTAGAGTAGCAATTTCCTCTTGTTGTATTGTGTCCCAAATTTCTTGCAATCTTAAAGAGACTTCTTGTAATGTCCTAGGAGGAAATTCAAGAGCTCTCATTTTTCTTCCTACCTTGTCCCAGACATGTTCAATTGGATTGAGATCCGAACTTCTAGGTGGCCACTCTAAAATATTCATTCATTCATAGGTTGCCATAAATTTGATTAGGTTGGTTTCTGGTGACAAACAAAAGACATCGTAACTAGTATCAAAATTTAGGTTAATTGATAGTTGACAGCAGGCTGACAGTCAACAAAGGGTAAACAATTATTCTAGGCATTCTAATTACAAACAACATGAAAAACATAATTTTCCTAAAAGTTCAAATCTTAGGTGGTAATTTCTGGTTGACAAATCTGTAGAAAATTAGAACTTCTTTATTTAAATATTGTAAGAGGACTCATAATTAAGTCTAAAGAAGCTTTGGTAAAAAATTTACACGTTTAATTATATGGCTCACTCTGTATAAAACATTGGTTTATGACATAAAAAAAAATAAATTTCTGATTATTAGGTTTATAGCTTTAAAATTTAGTTGGCAATACAAGACGGAAAAAAAATAGGAAAATGTACCAGTTCTTTACATTATTCAATATTGCCAACTTAATTTCAAAAACAAAGCCTACTTTAACTGAGCGCATGGTGTAATATACAGAGTCGCTAAAAACTATAAAAAAAATCTACTGTATGTAATTTTTTTTCATTTTGGAGATACAAGGTGTGCCCTTTATTAATTCAGTGATAATATTTGAAATAAAAGGTAAAAAACACAATTTGGAAGAATTATTTGAACAACTCTGAACTGATGAATATTAAATCATCTTTTAAACTTTACAGTTATCAAATTAGTCTTTATCTCAGTATCAAAAAGATATCATCTTTCAGTCCCGAAATTAATTTATTGTTCAGTTCTATAATTATAATTACTTTTTGCCAAGAGGCAACAAATAAGAGTTTTTATGTGTTGAGATAAAATTAATGCAACTAAATTCTTTCTGTTTATTTATTTCAAAGCATCCGCTTTTAGATCATCTCTAAATCTTGTTAGAATAACCGGAAAACACTTCCACTTTTGGTTTTGGTCTAATTAATTCTCCATTATCAGCGATTGACGCAATTGCGAGAAATTCTCCGAAATCGTGTAAAAATCGTTTAAATAAAACATCCGAGTATTAAAGTCAAACAATCCACCCCTGGTTTGCTCCAGACCCTTATCAGAACAAATACACCACACCCACAGCATTCTTGGACCCCAGTCACAAGTAATAATTTGTCAACACCAGACAGGTATAAATCAAATAGCAATGACCGGCAAAAAGCAAAATAGGAGTAGGTAATAATTTTAATTTTCAACCCGAAGCTTTTTATTGATCACCTGTTACCTTAACAACGTAATTGATCAGTGTATCAATAACTTCCGCTTTGTTTACTCCGAGAAAATTTTGAAATGTTTGCACATATAACAAAACCACCGATTTCCAATCTGAAAACTCGTTTCGAAGAACAACCCTCTTAGTTCACCCCAAAATTGCGGTGTCGATTCCCCTCGGACAGGGCCGGTCGACATCAATTACTATATTCCCACCCTCCCGAGGATTACATACCTAAGAATTTGCGAGATTTGATAAACATGTACAGGGTCAATTTTCAATGATGGTGACGTCATCGGAGGGTTAATGAAGTGTTGAAAAATGATAAATTTGAGGAAAGCACGCGAGAGATAATAAGGATGTCGACACGTCAGCAAGAAGGCTGGAGGCAAGAAGTGGAGAAAAGTATCATTTACTGCACGCATTTAGTGGCTATTATTTTATTAAGTTGGTTGTGTTTGACTTTTCAGGCATTCTTTGCTATTTTGGTTCTTATTTAGAAACAAAAATAGACAAAAATGTGTCATTTGTGTCTCAAAATCGACTCAAAGTTTATAATTCACCTTTTTTGTTTTCTTCTTTGTTAGTTTTAACGTGAAACAGTTTTCTCTGTCACAAAAATTTGCTTCACTTTAGCTTGAGGTTATTCTTGAATTATTTTATTATTATTATTAAAAAATTATTTGTTTTCAACAATTTTTTATATATTTATTATATTTTTTTATATATTTTATATATATTTTTTACCAAAGCTTTAGACCTAATTATGGAGTCACCTTGTATATTTGAATATAAAAAAAAATATTTTAAATTTTTATTTTTAACAATCACTGAATTAACTTGTTAACTTTTTCTATTAAAAAAAATAAAGACACCTTGTATACCCATTTTTTAGCCACTTTGTATATTACACGATGCGTTCTTTTTAATTTTTGATCAAAAAATAGGTTGTGTTTTTGGAATTAAGTTGGCAATAGTGAGTAATGTAACGAACTAGGAGTAGTAGATCTTTTGTCTTTATATTTTTCAGTATTGCCAACTAAATTTTAAAACTACAGGCTTAATAATCAGAAATTTCATTGACTAAGTTTTATGCTACAAAACAATTTTCAATAAATTTTATACAGTGTGGCTGAAACAATTTGTCGAAATTGTACTACTTTTTAACTCCTATTTTACAAGTTTTTACTGTATTAAGAAAAAATACTTTTTTAACTTCTTGTAATAGCAAAAAAGGACGCTTTGTATCCCCAAAAGAAATGAGACTGGAAATTTGAAACCTATTTCGGACTTAATTTTCAACAATTTTTTATACGGGATGAATCATAATTACGTGTAAATTGTTTTACTAAAGCTTCTTAATAATGATTCACCTTGTATGTTTGAATATAATAAAGTACATTTTATATTACATATTATTTTTAATTTATTTGAACAAAAATTAATTTTCAGGACTGAAAGATGATATCTTTTTGATACTAAGATAAGCATAACTTAAAAGCTGTCCTGAAAAATTACTTTTCCAACGTGAACTTTTTTACCTTTAATTTCAAGTGTTTATTTCTGAATTAAGAAAAAAATGTCTTTTAGTTTCTTATATCAAAAAAATATAGGACACACCTTGTATCTCCAAAAAAAAAAAAAAATGAGAAAATATAGTAGATTTTTTTATAGTTTGTACCGACTCATAACTTTGAAATTTTTATAGATAATTTTTTTTTAACATTTTTTCCATGTTTCTGGTATCTTATCTCTCTGGGGCGCGAGTTCTGGCGCACCCTGTATAATTCTTAAGTCATTTTTTGTATCACTAGTGGTTGGTGCTATTTGACATTTCAGAGTTAAGTGTCATAGAGGTTAAAGGGTTAGTGAAGGTGCTTGTAAAATTGCGTCAAAAAATGTTCCTTTTAAAAACAAAATTAACCACTTTCGGAATTTTTTTGCAATTTTTTTCTAAGGTGGTTCGTTTTTATTAGAACACGCTGTATCTCATAAATAGAAAGTCTGATTCAATTTTAGTAAAAAGTTTTGAAAATCATGCGAAAATAGCTTTCATTTGATGTGCCACAAGTAGGGTAATGCTATTTAAATTTTTAAAGTTGGGATGTGTGGGGGTTAAGGGGTCACTGGGGGTGCTTTAAAAATTGTGTCAAAAAATGTCCCCCTCGGAAACAAAATCGACCTGTTTCGGCATTTTTGCAAAGTCTTTTTAGTTTCTGAGGTATTCGAGGTGGCTCGTTTTCATTGGGACACCTTGTATATCATATCTACGAAAGCAGTAGATTTTCGTATCTTTTATCTCTATGATTTTCAGTATTGCCAACTAAATTCTAAACTTGCAGGCCTAATAATTAGAAATTTTTTATTGACAAAGTTTTATGTCATAAAACTTGTTAGGTACTTGTGTAGAATTAGGTTAATTAGATAAAATCAATTTTAAGGAATAAAAGTCGGTTGTGTCATTTTTAGATTTTTTCATAATTTTTCTATTAAAAAAAAATAAGAAAAATGTAGAAATTATAAATTATACAGTGATTTGTAAAACCTCGTTTTACTTGTTTTTTTAATTTTTGTGATTTATTGGTTGGCAAAAACGACTATTTATTTTTAAGTTATTTTTTTTTTATAATTTTTCAACAAAAACAGTAATTTGAGTTTGATATAACAAAATATAAGTAAAATGTAAAATCTAAAATAAAAAAATTAAATAAAACAAAAAAAAATCGACCTGTTTCGGCATTTTTGCAAAGTCTTTTTAGTTTCTGAGGTATTCGGGGTGGCGCGTTTTCATTAGGACACATTGAATATCTACGAAAGTAGTAGATTTTCGTATCTCTTGTCTCTATATTTTTCAGTGTTGCCAACTAAATTCTAAAGTTACAGGCCCAATAATCAGAATTTTTTTTATTCACATAAAACTTTGAGCCATAATTACATGTACTCGTAATACCAAAACTTCCATGATAAAAAATGCATTGAAATTTTTTGATTTGATTTTTTTTCATTTTGTTCTATTCTAGTTTCGAATATCGAAACACTTTATGTGAAGTTTGAATTTAGTTTAGACCATTTAAATTTTGAGAAATTGTTTTTCTAAACTCATAGTTACTAGAAATCTCTTATATGGTCTGTTTACAGTTTTAAATCAGGAATTTGTGTTAACGGATGCCTGAAGTGAAACAAGTGCTGTAAATCTAAGAGCAGGAAGTGATTTTTCCTTATCTCAAGAGCCCCAACGTGATGAAAAATGAGAAAAAGAGTTTGTTTGAAATTTTGTTAGCGACTCAAAATTTTTTCGGAAAATCAGTGAAAGTTGAGGATTTTTGAGCGAACGAAGAGGCCTTCCTCCTGCAGTTGCATCTTCGTGACATCGCCGAGGTCGGCCAACTTTACACATACGTGCAAGACAAGCAACAGGGAGACCTTCCGACCGAAAAGGAGACCGCCAAACACCATATGTATACGCAGCGGCATTCCCCATTTGGCGTTTGTCGAAGAAGCACGTGCGACGACGATTTGTGCCACAAAACTCCCATTTCGTGAATGAAGTGTGCTCCAAGACCGATGATGCGGTAAGTTGCAATTGATTTTTTTTCTTTTCGGAGGAGTGCTGGTCGCTCACCTGCACATTTGTCTCTTTTTCGGGTTGTTGTTCACATGTGAGGAAGCTTCTCGAGCGTGATGCATGATGGAAAAAATGAGATTCGAATTTTAATATGCAATGACTAGAACGAATTTTTCGAGAGTTGATAAATTGGCGTCGCTGGAGGTAAAACAGCATGATACACCTAAAAAATAACGGAAAATGATTTTCAACATGGTGAGCACTACATTTAGCAGAGGTCAAGGCTTGTTTGGCTTTTTGGAACTAATTACCAATGCAGTCGAAGACTTTTCTCAACTCATTATTATTTCAGCCGGTCTAAAAGAGGGAAATATTTGACATTTCCCGCTTTTTACAAAAATCAACAAACTAATACAAATTTCCTTATTTATCTTTTTTTTTTTCTAAAAAATTAACAAAGCCATATAGGAATTTGTAAAATATTGTTATACTTGTTTAATTTTAGTTTTTGTGTTACAAATAAAAAAAATTGCAAATCGAAAAACATTTTTTTTATATTTTTCAATAAAAATTTGGGTTTCTGCCAACGAAGCCAAATGTTAAATGTACAAAATCAAATATTATAAAAACAAAATAACTGGAATTGGGTATGTAAGTCGAGAGAGGTGGACTATACTTTGCTGTAAAATTATCACTTTTTTTTTAAATTTAAACCACGAACCACTATTTTAAATGTGATTAAAATGCATTTCAGGTTTAAAAAACACACGTAATGAATTATTTTATTGAAAAACTTATTAGGTACTGTAAAATTAGGTTAATTATTAGGTAAATTGTTTAGAAATCATTTTTTAAAAATAAAAGTCGGTTTTGTCATTTTTAGATTTTTTCATGATTTTTATATTTAAAAAAAAATGTAGGAATGTGGGAATGTGGGAATTATAAATTATACAGTAGGTAATTTGTAAAACCTCGTTTACAATGTTATAATGTTTTTTTCTGATGACATAAACTTTGAGACAACTTAAAAAATTAACAAAATAATAAAATATAATGATACCATTTTTAAAAATTTTAGTAACGTGAATTTTAGGCTTCAAAAATACACAATAATTTAATTTTTTGAAAAGCTTGATAGATACTGAATGCTTACACCGTGTAGACATCGATTTTGTAGTAATAAAAGTTAGTTTTGTCATTTTTATATATTTTAAATAATTTTTCTATTAAAAGTAAAAAACTTAAATAAATATATAAAATTGAAAATTTACAAAAATCCGGAAAACTACGTTTTATCTTGTTCTTTTTTTTAATTTTTGTGATTTAACGAAATTACAAAATAAAAATCAATTGAAAAACAAGTAGGTACCTAATTTGAAATAAAACTTGGAGGAATTTTGGTTTAAACTTTTTGCTATATTTATGCAAAGTGTTGTATAAAAAAAAATAAAATGTTACGAAACCCTGAAACGCTTACTAAAGTTGGTTTTGCTATTTTTGGATTTTATTTTTAGCAATTTTTTATTAAAACCCCGAAATTTAAGATTGGGATAACGAAATGAAAACCATAATATTGTGTTTAAAATGCAACCTCTTCTGTTTCAATAAAAGTTTGTTTTGCAAATTATAAAACAAAGGTTAGAAATGAAACTCATTGATTTTCTTTTTAAACCTTTTACTAATCTACTAGTTCCAAAATTATTTGAACCATAAAAATAATTGATTAATAATAAGTCTCTCTGTCGATCAACCCCCCAGGATGCCTCCTAATCAACAGCTTCCTCACCTCGTCGAACGAAAAAATAATAATCGCGAATGGTAGAGTCGGCACCAAAATATCCAAACTGATCGGTTCAAACTGCAACAACATCCTCAAACCGGGACAATACACCGCCAACGCTGCTATACTCAACTCGACAAAAATTCCAGCATTCAGCACCCAATTCGTCATCCCTTGCTGAAACAACGACAATCTTCTCGTTTTACAAATTATCAAATCAGCCACTTGTGTCAATACTATCGACAGAAAAAAACTACTGTAACATTTCCGCGTTAAAATCTTGCGCTCCTCATAAGTCCACTCTTGGCCATACGAATCTTTAACTATTTTATCTTTATCGATCCAATCGTGTCTTAAACCTGAAAAAAAAAATTTGTTTGAGGCGACCCCAAACCCGACCCCTTCTACCTACCTACGAGACGACCCCAAAAAAACCCATGCTCCATCATACACAAAAAATACGACGCAAAGCTTGCACAAGTCTGGATGACCCCAATTTGGGCATAGGTCAATAGAATCAATCGGTGATTGACAAGTTTGTCGTAAAAGGGGTCGCGGGGTCGCCGTGTCATAATATCAGCTTCGGCTTTCTCATACGCGAGACTAATAGCCGGCCATAAATCCGTCCCTATGTCACACATAATTAGAAGAGGTCGTCTAAATTTTGGGGTATTTACCAACATCAATTACCATTATGGCTAAAATACCAATCACTGGTGGTATATTTATAAATACCATAGCAATAAAAGGCACAATTTCGGGCACATTTGATGTCAGGAGATAAGCAATACTTTTTTTTAAGTTGTCAAAAATGAGACGGCCCTCCTCAACTCCGGTCACTATCGACGAGAAGTTGTCGTCAAGGAGGATCATGTCGGCAGCCTCTTTGGACACGTCGGTGCCGGCAATGCCCATCGCGATACCTATGCACAAAAGATATGATCAAGCTGAAATTAAGTTGGCAACGTTGAGCATTATTGAATTAATCTGACCGTTAAATTCAAAACAACTGATCAAAGTTGCCTCTGATTGAAATTAAGTTGGCAAAATTTATCATTAATGTCAAGTAGACCATGCATGATTAATTTGGCAACAGAGACTGTCAAATTCAAAAAAAAAATATGATCAAATTTGCTTATTCTGACTGAAATTAAATTGGCAACAATCACAGTCAAACTGAAAAAAAAATGAATGTAGCCTGTGAATAAAAGTATTAAATTAATTTGGCATCACTGACTGTCAAATTTATAGGAAACGATCTGATCAAATTGGTTTATTCTGACTGCAATTAAATGGCAAAATTGATCATTATTGTAATTTGTATTAATTTGGCAACATACAACTAGGTATCAAATTTAAAGAAAGATACTCATTAAAGTAGCTTATTCTGACTGAAGTCAAATTGACGACATTGATCGTTATTGTAATTCGTTTTAATTTGGCAACACAGACATTCAAATTGGCAAAAACATTGTTCAGTGTAGCCTGTGACTGAGATTAAATTGGCAACTTTGATCACTAATTTGTCAAGTAGGTCATGAATGAATTGGCAATCAACATTAGCTGTCAAATTCAAGTGTCACAATTTTATTGCCATTTCAATAATTCATTGTTGCCAACTTAATTTCAAGATTAGAAATTTAGTGACAAAAATACCAATGTCAGCCTTTTTCAAGGCTGGAGAGTCATTAACCCCATCTCCTGTAACGGCCACAATGTGCCCCAGTTTCTGAAACGCCTCCACAATTTTCAGTTTTTGTTGGGGACTTGTCCTTGCGAAAACAATTTCTTGATATGTCAACAAATTATTTTGTAATTCAGTCGTTGTCATTTCTCTCAAATCACTTCCAGTGATAACAGCCGCATTACACATACTTTTCTCTTTATCAGTAACTAAACTGACTGAAACGTCCCTTCTCAATGCTATATCATAAGATGTTACACTTTGTTGGGACAAAATCCCGACTTGTTTTGCAATCGCTGCGGCTGTGATAGGATGATCCCCTGTCACCATGATGACTTTAATTCCTGCCGTTTTACATTTACTAACAGCGTCGGGAACGGCGGGACGAGGAGGATCCATCATTGAAATCAATCCGACAAACCTTAATCCTTTAATACAAAAATTATAAACTGGGATTAATCCAAATTTCCAGTCGTTACCAGTCAATGGAAAATTTGGTTTCTCAACATTGAAGACGTAATTCTTGTTATAAATCGCTGATGGTAATTGCAAATCGGCGAAAGCCAAAACACGTTCCCCTTTTAATCCCAAATTATTGATAGCTCTCATAATCCCGTTTTTGATATCTTGGGTCAGGGATGAGGTTTCATCGAAACGCAGGATTGTTGAACAACGATCTAGGATGCGTTCGGGGGCTCCTTTCATCAAAAGGACAAATTCGCTTTTGATTTGGTGAATCGAAACTTGGTATTTGTTGGTGGAATTGAAGGGGATTTCGCACACCTGTTGGGTTTGATATTTATTATTTAATTTGACGATGTTTACCGTTTGGTAAAAGAGTAGCTGAATTTATAATTTATGGGTATCCGGTCGAGTGACGTCGATTTGCATAAAAATAATAAAAATTTCAACTTTGCGATGCCTAATTAAACGCGAAATAATCAACGGGATTTATGAATCACTATGGATGGGCAAATATTACACTCCGAAATCTAAATTATTTCGAATGAATTTGAGTCATTCGAGTTGTTTGAACCTTAAAACAAGGTGTAGTCGAGTCTCATTCGGACATTTACCTTAGAATTGGTTACTTCAATGTTGGATGATTTTTTGGGTTTGGGTTTGAAAACCCGTAAGATAAACCTAGGTTTACTTTTAACTAAAATTTAATTTAGAACGACACAAATTTTCTTATTTTCAAAAAAATAGTTTGAATATTTTAAGCACAACCTAGGTTTTTCTTCAAATGTTGTGTTTTTTTTCCTTGGTTATTTCTTATTAGGTATTATAATAAATGGATTAATTGTAAAATTTTAAGGTTTTTGCTTCTAAGTTAAACAATAAAATATTATGTAAAACCAATACTTGGGTTTGTTTTACAATCTGGGTTTTTCATCAAATAATATTTTGAGTTTGAATCTCTTATTTAAAATAAAACCTATGATTTTTTAAGGAAACATAAATTATAAAAAACGTCTAGAGACAATATTTTTACGACTAATAGTTTCCGGGAAATTGGAAAAATCGAAAATTTTTATAAAAGTTTTATTAAGGGAAAATTTAAATAAATCTCTTTGATTTCACAAATAATTATTTTTGTTTTTGGGTTTGGTAAAATTGAACCTAAAAAATTCAAATATGTAAACATAAATAAAATTTTCAAGGAGCTAGATTTCTATACATATAATGGATATCTTAAAAGATATTGAGATTTTTAAACAATTATGCAATTTTTGTCTTTCGTTACAAAGAACGTTGTATTTTCAATTTTAAGTTTTGATAGTTTTATAATTTCAAATGTACATAAATACTTGGGATAAGTGTTTAAGATATCGAAAAATGTGTGCTAAAAACTCCAAAAATCTTATTTTTCCTTTAAACTTAAACCCCAATTAGGTTCTATTTGCCTCAAATCAGAGTTTAATATGTGCATAAAATAGAAATACATTTTCATGACAAAAAACTTGAACAAGTTTAAACCCATTTAAAATGCATGCATTTTCCCTAAAAAGTCGCATCGATTTAGCTTCCAACGACACTTTAAACACCCGTCTCGCAAGAAACCTTTAATTACTTCTCACGTTTCTCACATCGCGTCATAATCTTCGATTTGTCTTGCGACAAGTTCTTAATTATTTAATCGTATTAATTAAACTCAACAAATCCGTTAACGTGTTTCCGCTAATTAATCCAATCATAATACAGGGAATTAAAAAAAGATTGTAACATTTATATGCAGTCTGTTCAAAGGAAAGAGAAGCTTCTAGTGAAAATTCTAAAAATTTTCACATTTTATATCTCTGAAACTTTGTCTATTAATTAGTCCATACCTCCTTAAAAATTTGACAATCTTTTTTCAACACCCTGTATAAAAAACTAACCTTGGGATTATCCCTTCTTTTCATCGACACATTTCCCAACAACATTTCCATACATTTCAACAACGCTGATTCACTCGCATCTCCTATTGTTTCTCTTTCATTCAAAGGAAGATGGTCTTGACCAATCACAAACGTCGCTCTACTACAAAGCACAGCAACCTGACATAGGGCCTGAAACGCTTGGGTTTCCTTATCGAGGGATTCCCCGTCAACCATGACATAATAGGCTTGATTGTCATAGAAAAGATGCACAACTTTCATCTTATTTTGTGTCAAAGTTCCAGTTTTGTCCGAACATATGACACTGGTACAACCTAGAGTCTCTATGGCTTCCAATTTCTTCACCATACAATTTTTCGATGCCATACGTTTGGAAGTAAGCGTCATACAAGCCGTCAAAGTGACCGGAAGCCCTTCCGGGACATTTGCAATAATCAGAGCGATAAAATAAGTAAAACTTGTGAAAAAATCATATCCGTAGGCTAAACAAACAATAAAAAACATTGTCCCAATCCCAAAGGCCAAAACCGTAATGAATTTGATAAAATAGTTGATCTCTCTCCGGATTGGTGTTTGTCCTTTTTCGAGAGATGTGGCCAAATTAGCAATTGCACCAATCAGAGTATCATCAGCGCGTTTAATGACCACGCCCATGCCACTCCCCTCGACGGCACAAGTGCTAAAAAATGCCAAATTTGGCGATTCGAGAGCTAAAGGATCTGATAATTCGCTGGAACGACTTTGTGGATTTGATTCGCCGGTAATTGCGCTGTTGTCAACTTTCAAAGCTTGACATTTGATAACTCTGACATCAGCTGGTATCCATTCCCCCGCCTTTAACTCCACCAAATCACCAATGACAACGTCCTCGCTTGGTATGACACGCCTCTCGCCGTCGCGAATAACCGTCGCGAATTTCGGGGTTAGTTTTTGGAAACCTTCAATAATGGCAACATTGGCGGCCTCTTGATAAAAACTGAAAAACCCCGTGAAGAGAATGACAATCAAAACAACAGTGGCTGAAAAATTCGTTTCAGTTAATTTTCAGAGTTGGAAACTTGATACCAAAATAGAGTTGTTCCTCGGCTGCTGGCCTCCCTTGTGACTTCGTTATGGCAAAAGTGATCAAAGCCATAAACACCGCGAGCCATAATAGCGCATTGAAGCCGCAAAATAGGAAGTTTGCCAAGATTAACCAACGGGATTTGGCGGGCGGGGCTTGTAGACAGTTGGGGCCGTCTCGGAGGAGGCGCTCGTGGGCTTGGGCTTCCGTAAGGCCGCGTTTGAAGTTGGTGTTGTGTCTGGAAGGAGGTGAGAGGAGGGGTTAGGAGCTGAGGGAGGAGCTTACCTGATTTCTAGTTCGCGGAGAGTGATCACGTGATCATCGATGGAATATTCGTTTTTGAAGGATTCGATTTGTTCATCGGTTAAGCGGACTTTGGATTTGGATTTGCTTTTGTCGCGTCTTAGGGTCGACATGAGGAAACTTCAAACTGACGTTGATAGATCACGGGGATCTTGATTGGGAAAATATGGCAACTTTGATATTAAAAAAATGACGTTTTAAATATGGTTTTAAAAGAAAATTAAACAAAACAGTCGATAAAACTTAAATAAAAACTAAACATAATTTAAGACGATTATCTTGAAGTTAAGTTATTAAATAACTGGGATTTTTATCTAAATTTTTGAACGTAAACTTAGGTTTCCCAATTCACTTTGTGTAAATAAAATATGTTAATAGTGTTTTAACAGTTTTTCTTATAAAAGCTAACTCCGTGATAAATTTTCTTATAAAAGTTTTAGTTTCCAAACCTAGGTTTAGTTTTCTTTAAATTCTACGGTTCTTTACCAGATTTTACAAAATTCATGAAATACTGAATTAACAAAAAAGATTTTGTTAATTCAGGATTTTGCACTAATTTATGTAATTTCTAGAATTTAAACAAAAATCTATTCACTTTTTGTTCAATTTTTTGCTAGAATGTGCATTTTTTTGTTACCATAAGTAATTTTTTGATCCAGTTTACGTTTTGACAAACAATTTTTTTCAATTTTTTTGTAATCTCATGTCATTTTTTTTTCTTTTGCAAACTTTTTATGTTTAATTTTTTGTCATGTGCGATTTTTTGCTTGTTCAATTCTTTGCTAGAACAAGCAATTCTTTGGTATCACGGTTGATATTTTGCTCAATTGTTTGTTTTTACAAACGCTTTTTTTCAATTTTTTGTGTTTTTATTCAATTTTTTTTCTAAATTTTTAGTTTATACAAACGCTTTTTGTACCTACATTTTTTTGCAATTTTGATCTCAATTTTTTGTTACATCATGCAATCAATTTTTTTAATCTCTCTAGTTATAAAAATTTTACTTTTTTAACTGTCAATAATAAAGAAAAAACCTCCAGCATTAAAAATTAATTAAAATCAATTAAAACCCGAGTTGGTTCTCAATAAATTTATTAAAGAAATTTTTGATTTTTTCTGAATAAGGTTTATGATTTTTTTTTAATTACCAATCTGTTTTCATTTTTCTTAAATTTTCTTACAATCTGTCCATAAATAAAGAACGTAGAACGTAGACTAGGACCGTAAAATTTAATATTTTTTATTATTATTTTTTAATTAATTTGAAATTAAGTAAGTTAGAATTTTAAATTCGTGTTTTTAAAGCACAATTTGGGTTTTGGGTTCAGTGCTATTAGATTTCCACGTAAAACACTTGTTGCAAGCAGTTTTTTACAATTTATTAATGAAATAAAACCCTAGAGTATGTATTTATTTTTCAAATTAAACAGGAGAGAACCCTAAGTGTAATTTTAACCTAAACCTACAATTTGTACAAAAATCTAGGTTTGAAATTACATGGTTTAAATTAAAACCTAGGCTCTGGTTATTTTTCAACTACTAGAACCTTTTTAAGTGATAACTTGCAACACTATTCTGCAACAGTTCAGATAAATTTATGAATTTATAAACCACGACCTAGGTTCCTTTTTCTTAAGTTTTCTTAAGGTTTTTTTAAGTATTTACTAGAACACAGGTTTAAGGTTGGAAAACCTTACAAAACTATGTTTAATTTTCACCTAAACTACACTTTGTTCAAAAACCTAGGTTCTGCTCATTTTTAAGGTTTGAAATAGTTCCAACAGTAGAATTCCGATTTGGGTCAAGCACTCTGCATTTTTTCGTCTGGTTGAGGTCAGTTTAGGTCAGCATTTGTAGACTCCCCGACGCTTTCCCATTGCAATTATGACGAAATAATCTCGTGAATTGTTTCTCTAAACATCACACAATATCCAGTTGGTCGTAATTATCACCCTCCATCTTCGTCTCGACACTTTGGTCGGAAAGAGATCACATATGAAACGTGAACCACGAGTTCCACAGCCGACCTGGAATGACCTTATGGTAATATGCAGACCCTACGGCCGCCTCTTTTAAACTTCATTTCAAAAAAAAAAAACAAAATAAAACCAAACGAAATGTCTCCAATTTCAAGTGGTGCAAGTCGAGCATAGATCCGACAACTTAATTAAAATGCACCAATTTGCATAACGACTTCGTGGAAACGGAATAATAAAACTAAACTAAGAAGAAAAACTTTATTTGTTCATGAATTACAACAATTTCCAACGTATCAAAGTTGGTAATTATAGCTCGGCTGCAGCCTCGACGGGACAACAACCACTTCCAAATGCTCCAACCGATTAAACCGTTTCACATCTTCATCTCTTCGTATCGTAACATCAGGCAATTTCCTTATTTTCTCCACATCGAGTTTATCAACACCCAAGTGCTGGCAACAAGTCTCGATCAAATCGCGATAATTCAATTTGCTTTCGTTGTAATCGACTTCGATAAAATCTTTATCGGCCAAATTAGCGACGCGTAATCGCAATACATAGTCTGAAAAAACGCTCAAGACGCACAAGTGTGGAAAAGAGACACTTACCTGCACGCGACATGGCACTTTTTTGCTAGGGAATTTATTCAAGCTATGGATTTTTTTCGTGAAGTAGTCGAGAATCGACACTGTCGTTGATTGTGGGGTGAAATGAAATCGTGAGTATTTATACAACCAGCACAACTTTTGTGATTTTTTGGCCAAAAGTGTGAAATCCCAATTTAATAACTGTACTTGTTTCAAGAGTATCGGTTTTAACGGAATTTGAGATGTTAAGCCGTTATTTGTGATTTCATTTCGAAGGTCAACGGGTGGTCTGAAAGACATCTCTGTAATGACTAAGACGACTCGGGTAATTATACGGACTTATCTGATTTTAATTTCGTTTCAAGATATTTTGTTACGAGTATCGCTTTTATTTCAAGAGAATTATACATTGTGTTGTGGCGAAACTGGTCTTTTGCTCTGGGGACTCAAGCTTGAATTTTTTTATTCAATTAGTTATGGGAGAAGGAGATTATTGACGAGGTTTTAATGAACAATTGTAGTTCAAAGATTAAAACAATAATAGGGAATTTTACTCAAAAATTGCGCCAGTTTGGATACGAGAAGGTGCCCTCATTCGTATCGATTCTACATCAAGTTATACATAATTTAAAAAATCAATTTAAAGGACTAGAAAACTTATAAATCAAATCTTTGATATACTCGTAATTTATTGTAATTTATTTTCTAACATTTAAGTTGAGTAATTTGCAAATTATTATTTGGTTTATTGGCATATTAACCAAAGACCGTTCACAATGGAAATTTTTTCAAAATTTTTTAAATATTTATTTTTCTCTTTTTCTTATTTATTTCATATAATTTAAAAAAAAGAGGAATTTTGTAAACCAATTAAAAGATAAAGACTTGAAAATTTTATTTTAGAAAAACCGGAAAAGATATATTTCATTATTTGCTTTGTTTCTTTCAAAATAAAATGTTAAAAAATAAGTAAAAAATTTGTAATTCTGAAAATTGTAAAAAATTCCATTTTTCTTAAATTAAGACAATTTTTATTTTTGTTCAAAATATCATTTTTATAACGATTTTGTGTACAAAATATCACCAATTTTAATTTAATGGTAAATCAGTAAATGTTGAATCAACATTTCACCTCAAATAAATGGAATTTTAGTTACATGTTACATAACGGAACTCACAAAAATATTTATTCTTGATTTTTTTTCATTACTTTTTTTTTAATTTTTATTGCCAAGATTGCAATTCCACTTTGCATATTTTTGCACTTGTAAAAAATTTGCCTGATAAGCCTTGCCTTAAGAAAATTACAGCTTGCCCACTCCCGAGGTTATTGATTTATAAGACATTAACATGGAAGAAATAGACTTGTCGTGCATTCCCTATATGCATAATTCATTAAACTGCAATGGAAATGTCAATACTCTTCAAGTCTCGAATAAAATAATTATTTGGTTGTAGTGACTTTCAAACAGTTTGCAAGCAGTTTGTAGAACAAGAAATAAGACATTTTGTAATGTTTCAATACCAATTTTGGCATTTTTTTAAAATATTGACTTGTGTATAACTGGTTGCATAACTTATCTTTTTATCAATCAATTTTTACATTAAAAAAATTTATCGACAATTATATAAATAGTTGCATAACAATTTTGTGTATTGTTGTTGTTTTTTAAATAGTTAGATAGTTCCTAGAACACGAAATGAGACGTTTTGTAATTTTTCAATAACTATCAATTTTTTGTGACTGACAGATGTATAAATGGTTGCCTAATGCGCCATTTTATTTCAAGTATTTTATTATTATTTTGATGTTGTCTTTTAAACAATTAAATTTTTTAAACACTTTCAATCTTATTCAAGTAGCTTGTAATGTTTGTTATGTTGTAATGCTTGTAGTGTTTGTTAATTTTTGCATTTTATTTTATCACCGGGCGTGTAACTGGTTGCATAACCCGCCGTTTTGTTACAGATATTTCTTCTTCATTTTGGTGTTGTCGGGGGCCCTCACGGCGTCCGACTCGACGCCCCCTCGCAAGCACGAACTCTTCACTAAATTGGGGCTCACACGCGTCAAGGCCCCCAACACCCACCACCGCAAACGTCTCGCTGTGGAGTCCCGCCACCACACCCGTTCCGACGACTCACACATGTACGTCATCAAACTGCCCCCCAACCCCCATTACTACGCCCACAATGCCATCCCCGAGTCCATCCCCCGCAAGAACATCCCCGTTAGCTTCAAAAGCAACGGCAAACCAGCCAAAGTCTACCACTGGAACATCCCCGTCATCAAGAAGATCGTCAACGCGAAACATAAAAGTCGTAACAGTGATAGCAACGAAATTGATTTTCAAAACGAGGTGTTTGATAAGCCCGAGAAGGAGAGGAAGCCGGCGAAGGCGACGTTTTATGTGCCGGCCAAGCCGAAGAAGGCCTCGTTTATGAAGTATTTCCCCGGGAATGGGAAATTGCACTCGTTTTATGTCATTGAGAGCAGCAAAAAGGCGCATTATCACAGGCTGTTGCCGTGAAAGGGAGGAAAAGTGCAATCAAACGAGTCGGGGAGACTGATTTTGGGCTTTTTCAGTTTTGTATTAATTATATGTATTCCTTGTTTATATTATTAAAGAAATTTTATTAAAAATCACTCATTTTGAATTCTCTTCTTCCCTTCTCAAAGCATTTGAAAATATAAAAACTATTGTTTTGTTCATTTCTTGTCAGTATAATGTTTATTACTAAGAAAAATATGTACTCAAAATTTACTAAAATGAAAATAGTATATTACAGGCGAGTTGGGAAATGTGTTCTTATATGACATTCTAACTGAGGTTGTATACTATTCTTTTGACAATTACATTCACAACGAAAATTTGATGTATAATTTTTTGGACTATTTTTTCAGTTTTTTATTAATTCCTTGTTTATATTATTACAGACATTTCATTAAAAAAAGTTATTTTGTATTTATCTTCTTCCTCTTGTTTTTCTCGTTCAATTTATAAACCGTGACTTCCCCAGTGGGTTCAACTGTGACCCCAGAATTCAATCTTGTAGATAACTCCCCTGAGACAGTTTCCACGACTGTTTTTTCCTCAACTTCGGAAAATTCCACTTCGTTTTGATTCTCTAAAAAACAACAAATAAACACAAAACTAGATTTAAAAAAAATCACACTTACTTAAGGTTGTATAAATGGGGATTGTGAGCCCCCTATGTGCGTACAAATTCACACTTCTGACATTCCCAAAGCCCCCATAAAAATCCTTCTCCAAGCCGTTGAAAACATAAAAACAGTTCTCAACCAATTCGTCTAGTTGCATCTTGCTATGGCCTATTTGCACCACAAAACTGTCACCTTTCGTGTGCAAATAAAGCGGAGTCTTTTTCAAGGTGGTCTCAATGTGTTCCTTCAATTTCGTCACCTGTAGTTTAATCGAAGTTGGGATTTTTCGCTTCTGGTAGAAGATTTTCCCGCATTTTTTCACCGTTTTCCCGCTGATTTTCCCATCGACGAGGAAAACGTCGTACAATTCGACTAAGCGTTTCCGCAGTTCGTAAGTCTCATACTCGGTTCGAAACTCGTGGAACGTCATCACTTTTTTGATACAGGTGACCTCCTTCTGTCTCAGCAATTTCTCGTAGTGCTCCAAATGCTCGTCGTGGTTTTTATTTGGGACTCCTTTCACGTCGGGCACAATCAAGCAGATTTCGCTATCGGGGGTGTACATGGAGTGTTTAAGGGGGATCCGGACGATTTTCGGGTGCCCCTTCGCCACTTTAATACTGTTTATTTGGAGAAAAATCGGGAATTGGTCGTCGTCAAAAAGCCTGTTTTGCAATTTCGGATTTTCTAATGTGAATTTAATCAAGCCCTGGACGCCTTGACGGACGGCGGAGGGGTCCACGCGGAACTTCGCCCCCAAATCGCGGATCTCGTCGTCAAAGTCCACGGGGGGGGCTGTTGATTTGCGACGAGTTCTGAGTTTGGCTGATTTTGGGGGTGGTTTGGTCACTATTTTCTCGTCGAAGGCATTAAAAGAGGCCACTTTTTCTGATTTTTTCTTATGTTGTTTCGTCACGATTTTAGTGGCCGATTTTGGGAATTTTTGTTTAACCAAGTCATGTTTCTTCTGCTGACTCTTCTGGAGCTTCGCAAGAAGGGCACTTTTTAACATTTTACACTCAAATTACTACTTGAAAAACTTCACGTGGTTATTTAAGGTTAAGTGTGTTTGACAACTGACAGAAAAAGAAAGCAGTGGCTAAAATACCAATCAATACTTGAATTTATTTAATTTTATAAAATCAAACAAGAAATAGATACAAACAAAAGGTACTTTTTAACATTTTACACTCAAATTACTACTTGAAAAACTAAAAAATTAAACAATAAAATTAAATTTTAAAACACCAAAAAACGTCATTATCCATGTCTGGCGACATTTGTCGTGCTCAATTGGCATCAGTGGTTTGGATTTCTTACGTTGAAATATAATTGTTTCAATTTTTGCGATCTAGCTGGTTCCGAACGCAGCAAAAAAACATTAAATGTGGGAGATCGACTCAAAGAGTCAAACAACATCAATCAATACTTCGTTGATAGTTTTGAATCGATGTATTTTAGCGGTGCGAAACTCCCAGAAGGCAAATGATAACAAGATGGTGCCTTTTAGAGAATCCAAGTTGACTCAATTATTTCAAAATGCTCTTTCTGGATTCGAAGACATTGCGATGATTGTGACGATAAACCCATCACTAGAAATGTTCGACGAGTCACAACATGTCCTTAAGATTTCTGCCCTCGCTAGCGAAATAAAAGTCGTCGAACGTAGACAAGAAGGAGGGGCAATAAAAAAGCCAGCAGAGATCTTAAGTGGAGATAATTGCACCGAAGAACGAAGAATGATTTTATTGTTGCAAACGGAACTAGAAAGTCAAAAGAATGAATACGAAGCGAACCTGAAAATTGAAAGGCAGTATTTGATAGATGGCTACGATGAAATCCTTCAGGATCTGAGAAACGATGCCGAGCAACAAGTCAAAACTGCTGAAGAAAATGTTAGAAGGCGTTACGAAGAGAAATTGAAGAATTTACAGACGCATTATGAGGAAAAAATAAAACAGTTGGAAAGCGACATTGTTATTGAATTGAGTTCATCTTCAGACGATGAACTTTCATTTGAACATAAGAAATCAACGAGCAGTGCGCCGAAGACAATTGTGAGTGAATCTGCCAACCTTGAAAGCTATAGGGTAGTGGAGGAACTCCTAACTGAAAACACCCAATTAAAGGAAAGAATAAAAGAACTGGAGACTGAAATGGAAAAGTATAGACAGCAAAGCGTCACAGATTAGTTGCTTGCTGTGTCCAAACGGTGATCGATGACAGTTCGTCGAGGCCTTCCAGTACAGCAACGGGTTCATTACTGAGTCTTTGCTGCATTGCCCTTAAAAGAATTAAAAAAATGTTACACATATTTCATGACTGAAAATAATCTTAAATTACTAAAATAATCAAAAACTTTTGTGGTCTCTAAAGTCTGTTTTTTTTTAATGGAAATGCCAAACAGTCTTAACGTTGGTACTACTAGTAAATTCATTCATGGTAATTTTCGTCGTCTGCGTTGATTGACAGTTTTGTACAAGAACCTCATTTTTGTCCACAACATTGTACTTACTAGCGGTGTATTTCTATCAAAATTATTAGCACTGAATTCTGTCTTTAAATCTTAGGTAATGATGTCTGTCCTCAGGTATTCAATATAGTTTTCAAAAAGCAAACAGGCACACAAGATTCATAAAAGTCAAAATTTTGACAACATCTCAATTTGAAAGAATACATAACCATAATTTTTTAACAAAATTTTTAGGGACAAAAACAAAGAGCAAATAAAATTTGTGGCTATGGAGACAAGCTGCTACCAATTTTTTCACCAAAATTTCCATTGTGGTACATAATTCAGAATAGGCGATAATGTGAAATCAGTAAAAAAATTAAGTTTGTCTCTGTCGCTCGCATACCACAGCTCAGTATAAAAAAGTAAAAAAACAGTGCCTTCGTCTTTTGAGTATCACATTTAGAAGACAAAACTAGAAATGTTATTGAATTAAATTACAATGATCTAGAAAGTTTTTTTTCTAATGCAAACAAAAATTCGTCGAAATCCGACACAGAATAACAAAAATATTGCATTGTGAAAAATCGCAACGTGTTAGTTGTCCGGTAAATTTTGGCGGGCAGTATAGCATAAGCTGACAAATTTCGAATTTTTCTAAATGTCATAGTACATACAGGGTGCGCCAGAACTCGTGCCATGTAAGGTAAGATACCAGAAACATAGTAAAAATGTTAAAAAAATTCTATTTACAAAAATTTCGAAGTTATGAGTTTAAATTTTGCACTTTCAATCTATTTATTTCTGTTGGAAAAATAATTTTCCAAGTTTTTTTGCTACAGGATATTAGAAGAGGAAACAAGGAAGATGTATACTAAATTGTAATTCCGTTTAATGTTACTTCTAGCTTTTATTGGCAAAATGTTTGTACCTTTACTAAATAATTATAAAAAAAAAAACATATACAAGATCATCAGATCATTAAATAGACATAAAAAATGTCAGATAAAAAATAAATGTCAAAATTTTTTGACAGAGAAATTTTTAAACATTTTTTCCATGTTCCTGGTATCTTATTTTACATGAAATTTTTGTCTAGGGCGTGTATATTTTGGGCTATATTCAACTTTAATTAGGGACCCAAATTTTTTATAGTTTGAAAGATATTAGTTTTTTTTGTTCAATATGTTCTACTTTTATTAAAAATAATTGCAAAGTGTCAATAAAACGTTAACAATAATTTTATTAAAAGTAAAAATAAATAAATAAATAATAAAATAAATTAACAACACTAAAGTCATTTCTTATTAATAATTAAAATAAATATTGGCAATATTTCCTTTAATTTGCTGCTTCTTGATATTGCAATAATGACATTGTCTTATATGACACGCAAAGAGATTTTATTAACTTTTGTTATTTTTTTTAACTTTTCAAACTTCTTTAAACAATAATTTTGCGTAAAAGTAAAACATATTGCACATGTCAGTACCACGAAAACTAATACCTTCTAAATTATAAAAAAAATAAGGTTTCTAATTTAAAATTGAAAAGTCCAAAATATACCATGACATTTAGAAAAATTCTAAAATTGTCAGCTCATATACTGAAAGATATTTAATTAATTTTTTTAACTTTTGAAACGTCAAAACAGTGTTTATTGAAAAAACCGATGAATTAGGTAAGAAAAAAAAATTGACTATATTTCAACAAAGTTATTGTTATAAAACAAATACAGATAAAGTAGTTTGTAAACTAATCGGATTAAACTATGAAACGTCTAAAACTTTATAGTTTTTTAGAAAAGTCTAAGAGATCCAGTCCAAAGTCAAAGACGAATAATAATAAATAATACTAAATTAAAAAAACTAATAATTTTATCGACTACAATCCTTTTTGATTTTATATGATATCTTAAATGAATGTTTTATAAGTTATTGTTTCAAATTAATTTATTCTTCGACACTGTCAAAATTTACGGTTTTTCTCCCGTGTAAGGAAGTTTTGACAACTGTTTGGCATTTTTCAATACAAAACGTCAAATTATTTTTAACAGATTTAAAGCAAGTTTAAGCCTTGTTGACTCTAATTCGAAGAATAAAATGTTGTATTCCACTCGTTTGAGTGTAAATCGGACGCTTTATTCCACCTCGTGGTTTAAAAATCCACTCGGTCAAATAAAGAGTCCGATTACACTCAAACTCGTCGAATAAATAACTATTTCACTACTTCTATTTTTTATCAAAATTTCATCAAATTGATTTCGTGTGGCCAATTTGACCAATTTGTGTTAAAAACAAGTACTTAATGAAATTATTTGTTAAAATCGTTTTCTTAGATGTAAATCAAAACAGGTAATATGTGGGACTAAACAATACATATCGAACTTACCGGTAGGTGATCACAACTTGTTGCGTCCGATCTCCCGACCTTGAAGACGAATCAAGAAGATGTTTGCAGAGCAATTTTTCCGTCTTAGACTCGGACTCACTTAATGGTTTGACAGTTCCTGCAGGTGTTGGCTTTGCAGGAGGATTACTGGGCAAACTGCGGAAGAGATAGTCCAAAGACCTTGGAACTATCCCTGGTTTTTTCTGTGTGGCCGTCACAGTAAAAGTTTTTCCTAAAAATTCAGTACATAAATCGCTGTTTGAAACAGTTCCAAATTTTTTACCAGAGCCTGAAGCGCCATACGTAAAAAGGGTCGAGTTTTCGCCATTTATAAAATCAAAAATTTTAGGTTTCACAACACAATTGAAGAAATCTCCTTGCGTAGTTTGAGGGCCAAATATTCTTGTAAATGTGTACATTTTATTCAACGAATCATCTTCTTTAATGTTCCTCGGGACCTTTGAAGTGAGGACGTTCCCATCGATTTGGTATAAGTCCTGAAGATCATGGCCGTCTTTCAAACGCAAAAATACCCGAATATTTTCTGGCTAAAAAAACAACACATATTTTAGAGATCTTAATTAGATTTGTAAAATATGCTAGTGCACAATCACTCAATCAAAGAAGAAACACTCAACATTATAGTTAACCCTCAAATCTTCATCGCCCGAGCAGCTTTCTTCACTTGAACTCAAACTTTAAGAACAAACAAATCACCTCAGAAAGAAATTCAAAATCATTCGTTAAAATGATAAGAAAGAGTGTTTTTCCTTAAAGTTTTTACCTGGTTGTCGCCTTGAGACGTTTCTTCAGCGAATTCCTTATCTAAATTCGTCCTGGGGCCCGGAATTAAAGGTCGATTGAACGCCAAGATGCTTGGGTCTCGAGCCCTCAAAAAGGAGGCTCTCCTCAATACCAGACCGTCGTATTTCTCCAGTCTGTTAGTAGTGTAATTTGAAATTTTTTGTTTGAAAACTGAATTTTTTGAGATTTTCAAACAAAAATAATTTTTTGGCAAACAAAAAATTTCAAATCACACTACTAACAAACGTAGACGGCAAAAAGGCACACAATTATACACACACACACACACGCACACAACAACGTTACCGCTACGACTGTTCGTTCAAATTCGAAATTCGACCAAGGATGCAGGGACGGATCCAGGAATTAATTTTGGGGGGGGCTATCTAAAAAAAATTAAATGATGAGGGTAGGTATACAGTGAGCGGCAAAATTATAGAATAATCTTATTTATTAAAACTGAAAATATTTTGTTTTGGAAAAATGCTCGAACAGGTCAATTTTCTTTTTAACAAATACAAAATTTTTAACTTGATTTAAAATTCTATCTTTGTTTTTTATTGATATTATTTCACTTTTTGGATAGTTTTTTAAAAATAACTTTATGTAGGTAATACATAATATTTTCGTGTTGCCATTTCGACAATTATCTATCGAATTTGCTAAAAAATAGGTTGGTCCATGAAAATGAAATTAAAGAAGACGGATTAAAAAGCAAAAATCTCTAAGTACACGTTTTTATTTTAAATTGAAATAAGAGATCCTAATTAAACATAAAAAAATACAAATTAACTCACAAAAGTAACAAAAATAAAATAAATTTTTAATAATTTTTATTGTTACAAATTTAAACAGGAGATGAATATTCATTTTTAAAACAAAAATTTTCTATGAACATATATCGAAAAATGCAACGCAAGGGGTGCGTCTTTTAATAGGTTTTTTTTCAATATTTCCGAAATCATTTTAGAAAAAAGCTATTACGTACTCTTCTAAATTTGGAGATTGGTCTGTTGTGTTGGTTGACGTTTCCAGAATACCTGGATTTTATGAAACTTTTATTTAAAATTAAGTGTGCTTAACAAGTAAAAAAAGTGGCCAAGATACCAAAACCCGAAATTTGAAAATAAAAACCAACAAATGGATAAACAACAAGTTTTTATTTATTTTTACATTTATATGCATTCTATGCTAATTGTAATATCCAAAGCAAGTATTACTAAACTATTATATAATTAATAAAATTATTGTCGGGTAGGCAACCAAATAAACATCAATCAATTTCCAGTTTTTTAAAGTTGCCATAAAAGCCCAAATTTTCATCATTTATCAGTTTTTCAGGTCTCAACTTTTCATTGACTCGCAGATTATCCAATTTGTCAAAACGTTCTTGATATTCTACTCTTTTCAACTTGCCTAATTCTAGAAAAAATTGTTAACAACATCTTAACTAAAAATTCTTGTAAAACCTTGTAATTCACAAAGCGATTTCTCTTCACCGCCGTAATCACTTGGGATTTGTTCTTTGTCAAAACATTTAAGCAAAAAACTACTGTCCGGATAAATATGTATCTGTTAAAAACCATTATTTTGTGTTTTTCACCTAAATAAAACTTACCCTATCGAACATTTTTGGTTTTATGAAGCCTTTAACAATTGTTACGATTTTTTCCACAAACGGAGGGGCGTTAAAAACGTAGACTGCTTTAAGACGCATCGAGAAAAGTCTCTAAAAATGCTATGAAACAAATGTGGTGGCAAAACATTGATTACCTCATAAATCAAAATCAGGGTTTTGTATAATATACTGGGTGTGAATTTTAACATCAAATTGAAGGAGGCATCTGCGGCATCGACGATAAAAATATCCCCAAAGGCTACGTCTTCAGAAAGTCGGATTTCTTGACAATTCACCAAATGAGCAATCACTTTATTGAAATCAATTTTTTCCATGAGCTCAGTATTGCGGATTTTACTAAAAGACACCCTGAACATTTCTTTGGTCAGTTTCGGTAACGCTACAACATGACTAGAGTTTTTGGGTAAAATTTCAGTTCTAAAAAAAAAATACACTGCGTCAACGATTTGTCTCATTTCGGGCAATTTGGGGTTACTCTCGTCGAAAACTTCGGGTAAATGTGAGCGCACGGTGTAGTACATATCGATTTTTTCTTTAGTCAACTCGATACTACCCTTGTTCAAGATTAGGAAATTCTCAATCATTTTTTCAGCTAAAATTCAGGTGCAGTCTTGGACAAAATAAACGCCAAAGTTACCCATAATCTCCGGTAGATGGGGCTGCGTTTTCATCCACTCTTTCAGGACGAAAACGTCGTTTTTCAGTGCTTGGACTGAGGGGTAGTTGAGGGACTTGGCCACGCGCCCCAGAACATCCCCCCCGACTTCAAACAAGACAACTTTTTGCGTGTTTACACCTCTCATCGCAAAAAACTACTAATCGCTCAACTGGGAGTTGGATATTTGAAGAGACTGGCCTCGAGTTAAGGTCACTAAACACGGAAAAAGAACAATATTCTTTATTAAAAAAATTACTCGTTTTATAAATCGTTTGATTTCGGTCTTCCATCCTGTATAACTTGACTGTCAAAATGACAGTTCATGTTTTTATAACCTTTAAATTGATATTTTTTTTATTTTTTTCCACAAAAAAAAAAATACAAAAACCCATTCATTTCTAATTAACTCCAATGACATATACTTGACGGTCAAAGTGACAGTTGACGTTCTTCAATTTTTTTTTCTACAATTCATTAAAAATGTGAAAACTTATTCATTTTTAATTAACCCTAATGACGTAATAATTATGTAAGCGCTCCAAAACAAAATTCATAAAAATTAAATCTTTTAATTTCGTTCATCCATCTTGTATTACTTAACTGTCAAAGTGACTGTCAAGTGACGTTTTTATAACCTTCAATTTTTTTTATTTTCCATAATAAACTCGCATTTTAATAAATTAAATAAAGTTTTTTTTGAACTGGAAACCAATTAATATTAATTAACAATGACATAATATATGAATGCCTCAAAATTGATAATCTAGTCGAAAAAATTAAATCTTTTAGTTTCGTTCATTCACCCTGTAGAACTTGACTGTCAAAGTGACAGTTGACGTTTTTATAACCTTCAATTTTTTTTTCAATAACCTCATTGAATAACAATATTCTTTATTAAAAATTAAAAAACTATTCGTTTGTGAAATTGGGGGCCCGTTTTTCAACGAACGCCGTCATCCCTTCTTTGCGGTCCTTGGTGGCGAAGGTCCCGTGGAACATCCTCTTCTCAAAATGCAGCCCCTCTCTCAGGGTGGTCTCATAGGCCGTATTGACCGACTCCTTGCACATCCCATTAACCAGATGCGAGTTTTTGGCGATTTTCTCCCCCAATTTGACCGCCTCCTCCATTAGTTTATCGACGGGGAAGACTTTGCTAACCAGCCCCATTTTCTCGGCCTCGTGCGCCGGCACTTGGTCCCCCGTGAGCACCATCTCCATCGCCTTGGACTTGCCCACCACGCGCGTCAGCCGCTGGGTGCCCCCCGCGCCGGGGATGGTCCCGATTAAAATCTCCGGCTGTCCGAACTTGGCGTTCTCGCCGGCGTAGATGATGTCACACATCATGGCCAGCTCGCAACCGCCCCCCAGCTGCCAAAATTAATAAAAAATCATTTTTTTTTTTACAATTTTTACACTCACAGCGTAGCCGTTGACGGCCGCAATCACGGGCTTCACACTCTCGGAGACGCGGTTCCAATGGGCCAGGAAGTTGCCACTGACGCATTGGGAATAAGTGTTGTTTTGCATTTCTTTGATGTCGGCCCCCGCAGCGAAAGCTTTTTCACTACCGGTGATTATGATAGCCCCAATTTCCTTGTCTTTCTCGAACACGTCCAAAGCATCGGCCACTTCTTGCATAAGACCGTTGCAAAGGGCATTTAGGGCCTTGGGCCGGTTCAGGGTTATCACCCCCACGTTGTTGCGAGCTCCGGTTTTGTGCGTTTTAATAAATTCGAAGTTTTTTTGAACTGGAAACCAATTAACATTAATTAACGTTTAAATTAATTCGTGAAGGTTACAATACGACAAGTTTTTATTTTGCCGGGCTAGTGGTGTAATTTCGTTCAGCCACTATGTATATAATTTGACTGTCAAAGTGACACTTGACGTTTTTATAACCTACAAATTCATGTTTTTTTCAATTGTTTCCACAATAACCTGATTAAAAGTACATTTCTAATCAACTCCAATGACGTAATATAATTAATTTCGTTCAACTTGACTGTCAAAGTGGCAGTTGACGTTTTTCAAATTGATTATTTTCAATTTTTTCCACAATAAACTTGTTAAAAATACAAAATCTTGTACATTTCTAATTAACTCCAATAACATAAGATGTGAACGCCTCAAAATTCATAATCGGGTGGAAAAATTAAATCTTTTAATTTCGTTCGTCCACTCTGTATAACTGAACTGTCATGTTGTCGCTTGACGTTTTTTAAATTTCAAATTGATTTTTTTTAATTTTTTCCACAAAAAACTCAATAAAAGTACAAAATCTTGTTCCTTTCTAAATAAGGCCAATGACGTAACATGTGAGCGTTTCAAAATTCATAATCGGGTCGAAAAAATTAAATCTTTTTATTTCGTTTATCTAACTGTCAAAGTGACAGTTGACGTTTTTATGACCTTCAAATTAGTTTTTTTCAATTTTTTCCACAAATAGAATTATTAAAAATTCAAAATCCCATTCATTTGAAAAGGGCCGGTTCAGGGTAGCAAACAACGGTTTTGTAAATTTTAATATATATTTTTTTAATATAATATTTATAATCAACGCCACTTTGTCGGTTTGGTGGTGTAATTTCGTTGATCGACCCTGTATATAACTTGACTGTCACAGTGACAGTTGACCTTTTTATAACCTTCAAATGGATTTTTCTTTCGATTTTTTCCACCAAGATACATTAAAAATTAATTAACTCCAATGACGTAGCATGTGAGCGTCTGAAAATTCATAACAAGTCGAAAAATTAATAAATCTTTGTTTACTTCTGAGTGTGTTCTAATTATGTAAATCTGGGCCTTGATATTTAATTTTTGGGTAATTGGGTGAGACCAACTTGGGTTAAAGTCTCCCTAACCTCAAACACTCACCGCTGTAAAATTTGACGTTGGGGTTGTTCACGAATCCCTTATTCGAGATAGGGGTTGAAATTCTGGAGACTACAAACCGAGCTAAACTTTTCGCTGCCATTGTCACTGTGTTAATAGATAAAAAAATATTAAACCGGTTCAAAGTCTTTGCTTGTTTATCAGCAACCCGGTAAACAGCAAAGTTGGACATAAATCGCTTCGAGTTTATCGTTTTTTTGTTTCATTACAGTTGTTGTAATGGTTGATTGTAACTAAATATAGCAGGTTTTAAAGATTATGGCAATATCTTATTTTTTATGGTATTATTTCGGTGTTTTGATAATTGTTACGCTAGGTTGTGATAAGGAAGAGTTGGGAAATGAGTGATTATGCAAAAATTAAGAATAAACTGTTAATTTGCTGAAATTACTTTATTTTCCCTTTTCTTGCTCTTGCTTCAGCCCTTCGCCCTAAATAATCCTTTCATTGTCCCGCAACGTGCCTAAGGAAGTGAGGATAATTCCCTTGTTGGGGTTATCAACTTGAATTAATTATGAAGGGTGACTCCCTTTGTCAAAAGATTTGATTAAAGATAACACAAAATTAATTAAATTAGTATTAAATAAAAATGATCTTCAAAAAATAATGTAAGATAGACAACACAATATACACCTAATTATTTAAAAATGAAAATATGGGAAGTTGGAACAAAAACACAAAGTGGCTTTCTGTGACAACAAATTAAATTTAAAATAGTTCAACATTAATTAAGTAATAATCAAAATAATGCTTAAAAATAGTATAGGGTGGGCAACGCAATATACACTTAATTCAGAAATCAAAGAATTTGTAAATCAAGCAAGAAAATTGCAGCAATAGCAAGCAAAAATTTTGCTAAACTTTGCAAACTATTCCTTGAAGCTAGCCCCAACAATGTGCCAATTAATTCCAGTTTTATTGATTGTTGTGATCCCAATTTTTGGGTGGGATTTATCTTACTACAACATTTCTTCTGATTATTTTGTGTCCCAAGTTGCTGTTTATGGGAATCGGGCTTTTTTATCGCTACCAAGAAGCTCTTGTCGTAACAATATCACCAATCCGACTCTGGTTGAAGCGTCATGGTTCAATGAACAACCGATTTTTCCCAGGTGAATTTTTAAATGTTTTTGAACCAGTTTTAAGTGAAATTTTTAGAAAATATCCCTTTTTTCTTGATTTTCAAACGTGGAATAACTGCGACCATTTGCAAGATGTTGTGGCTGTGGATATGGAAACTATGAGGCCACGTTTGTGGGTTTTAGACAAAGGCAACTTGGAGTGTTTACCAAAAATTGTCATTTATAATATTTTCCAAAAAATTAATTTCACTTTAGAAGCACCTAAAAACGTTAGCTTTAATTCTTTAGTGGTGGATGGGCCAAAAGCATACATCGGTTTAGACGCCTCCAGCAATTTACTAATATTTTCCTTGGCTGAATTCAAGTGGTGGCAAATCAATTTAGAAGCCCCAAACACCAATTTACCAATTTCAACCAAATATGTGGCTCTTGGGCGCAAAGAACCGATTTTGTATCTCACTGGAGGGGACGAAAGAGGGATTTTTTCATTAGATTTAACCGAAATCGAAAGTTTTAATCAGGTTTCAAACCAAAATAGTGAAGAATAAAAAAAAAACAAGCTAAAAATGTTTCCAGGAGGAAGAAATATTCAACGCTAATGTCACATTTCTGGGAGAAAAACTAGGAAACTCGACGTGTCTCGTTGCAGATTTCAAAAATGGGCTCAGTTATTACATACCACGTGATTATGTGGTTGTTCGATGGGACACAAGGTAAAAAAAAGATGCGATGGCCGGGAATCGAACCCGGATCAACTGCTTGGAAGGCAACTATGCTGACCATTACACCACCATCGCACATGATTCATAAACCTAATCTCGTGTAATTTATCTATTTCTGCTATTGATTTTTTATTTTTTTATAAAAAGAAGCGTTTAATTAAAAATTTTACACAAAACCGGTCAATGAAAAAATATTCTGGCATAAATAAATTGTTACAACACTATACTTGCAAAAAGTGTCATAGTTAAACTTTCTCAGTTAATAATAATATCACTCTTTATTTAATAATTCTAACTTTGTTTGCATTTTTCAGACTAAAACTTTGTAAGAAATCTCGATTTAAACACTTCTGACGCTGATTTTGCCCGATTTTGTTTTTTATTTAATGCCGAAAGTTGGGAAGTGCTGGTTGCATAACCAACAATTGATCAATCTTTCAATTGCTCTATTGTTTAATAATTATAAATTTGTTTGTATTTTCTACACCAAAAATGTGTTAGAAATTTTAGTTTAAATACTTACGCCGCTAATTTTGTCCGAATTTGCGTGTTTATTTCATAATTGACATTATTTGATTATTACGTAATTTCAATCTTAATTTGTTTTGTTTACTAAAACTTTGTTAAAATATTGTTCAGAACGCTTATGTTACTGATTTTGCTTGTTTATTGGGGCAATAGTTGGTTGCATAACCTACATTTAACTTACAGGAATCCCCCAATTGCTGAGCATTATAACGTCTTGGCTCAGTCTTATGAGCTTTTACCTTACGTGTCCCAACTCTATACAGGCCCTCAAAACTCGATCTGGGCCCTCGCCAATCCCAGCCCCTCTCACCTATGCCAGGAGTCGCCCCAACTCAGCAAACGTTTAATAAAATTACTCAAATACAACATTTTCTTGTAATATCGTCTTTATTCAACAAATCAACAATAAATCAGTTTACGTGTGTACGGGTAATGGGTTTTTGGGATTAACACAGCCTCCCATCAAAGTCACCCTTTGTGAGGCTCCACAGCCTACAGTGTTTTGGATAAAGTCAGGGAAGTTGCTTTCAAGGATCCTCATTCTTTCGCGTTTGAGGTCAGGGATGGCGTGTGTGGACAAGTAGCACTTTTTGGATTTGTAGACTAGAACTGGGAGTCCTGGAGCTAGAGGAAGGTTGGCGTCCCATCGGTACACTTCCGGTTTACCCTCATACCGGAAGAAAACAGCGGTACCAAGATCGGTACCCAGGATGATGATTTTCCCGTCTTTGGAACCACTATCGACGATTTTTCCCGATGTGCAACCCGCCCTGAGGTAATCCGTCCGAATTGTGAAGACTTTAGGCGATGACAGATAGGAGAAAAGGATGAAATTGTTTCCGCATCCCTTTTGGATGAGGGCAATGTAGAGAACATCCCGTTTCCCATTCCCGACCACGGCCTTCGGGAGCACCACCCTGTATCCCCTATTCCCAGCAACATCAAACACTAGAATAGATCTAGTCGCCGCGTCGCTGACGTAAGCATAGGGGCGTCCATCAGGGGCGTATTCCACAGCGATGTATTGCAACCTCGACGCTTGAGCCACCAATCCCGATAAATCCAACGTCTTGACAACCTTCCCGGTTCGCAGCGAGATCGCTACCACTTTCGGGGGACAGCGTCTGATTGGCGTCTCCAAAGTATTAACCACGCCCACATCCAACACCCACAGAACCTCATTGGCGTCGGCGAAAATATCCACCACTGACTGCAACGCATTGCAATTGCCCTCCTCCTGGGTGGACCAGCACGGGAATGGGGTCAAAGACGCCTCACATCCTTTGTGTTTCAACGATAGTTTGGCCAAAGTGGCAGGGACGCCAGCCTTGTACCGGGGAAGGGCCACAATGACGTCATCTTTGTAGATTTGGGCACGGGTTGCAATAGCGTTTTTTGGAATAAAACGTCCCGAGGAGCGATAAATGGACTTGGTGGCCCCGTTAGGCCACTCGAAATTGCCTCCAGTCCATTCCACAGGCCTCACGATCTCTTTGTCGCAACTTGCCAAAATGGCGCCGATTAAAGTACACAAAATGGCGATTTTTCGCAACATACTTGATTGATTGATTGGAGTGAATGATGAGGGGCCTTACTTTTTGGCGGCTTTTATTCGGCCTGAGGTCAAGTCAGACGTGCCTCAAGTGAGGTCATTGACCAAACCTGAATCAACAATTTTGCAATCATGGCCGCCGAACTAAACAAACATGGAGACATGACCAAAACAAAAACACCAACTTGGATATAAAATAAGCGAGTCGCTTACGACGTTATTCACTTGTCAACTAGTTCAAGTACCAAAATGTGGAAAATTCTTGCGTTTGTGGCGACTTTAGCTATTGGTGTTCGCAGTGACTGCAACAGGAACCTTATCCCTGACCTCAGTTACAAGCTCAGTGGTACCAACCTCGCGTTTCCTTGCGAAGCCACCAAGAACATCTACCTCCAAACCGGACGTTATGTCCCGAAGAACGTCATCGGGACCCGAATGCAGATTTACAAGGAGGACGCGATTGTGGCCCTTCCGCGTTTCAAACATGGCGTCCCTTTCACCCTTGCTAAATTCAATTTGAAACAGCGCGGTTGCCATGCCACCCTTCAGCCCTTCCCGTGTTGGGCCATCCAAGAGGAGGGGAATTGCGACGCCCTGCAGAACGTTGTGGACATCTTCCTCGACCCTTTGGACATCCTCTGGGCTTTGGATTTGGGGATTTGCAACACTTTGGAGCAGCCGGTGAGGCGATGCCCCCCGAAAATCGTCGGGATTAACGCCGCCACGGGTCAGGTGATCAAAACTGTGGACCTCTCGCCCTTCATGACCCCCCAGAGTCGCTTCCAGTACATGATCGTGGACTATTCCAAGGACGGGAAAGCGTGGGTTTACGCTAGCGATGCGGGGGCTGGGGGGATCCTCGTTTATGATGTCTTTGGAGGGAAGGGCTACAGGGTTGTGTTACCGGCCGCGGCCAGTGCTGGGGGTAACAAAGACGTCCTCTACATAGCCCTTGCGAGGAAATCCTGCGGAAACGTCCTCTACTTCACTTACTTGTCCTCGCCTAGAGTTTTCAGTATCAAAGTTTGCTACTTGCAAAGTGGGCAAGCCAATGGGGCAATTGTCGACGTGGGGGCTAAGCCTCCCGGGACTAGGATCGTGCTTCTGGGGACTGATAATGGAGCTGCCATCTTCTTCAGATACAAGGGAGAGTCGGATATTTACATTTGGAATACTGATACTGCCTTCAAACCTGAGAATTTCCTCTTGGTACAAAAGGGTGGGGAGTGCAGGTTGTCGACTCAGGTGGTACCAGGATATAAGAGACTTATGTGGGCTATTGAGAGCAATTTCCATGATTATATTTCCAACACTGTGGGCTGTTTGGGGGCGAGCATGGCTGTGCATCCGCTTATCAAAACATGCGATTAAGAATGTTGAAAAGCTTGCTGTGATTGGTTATTAAATGGTTATTAAATTAAATGTGTTTTTTTTTTTTATTTTCACAATTGGAAATACAGGGTGTTTAAAAAAGATTGTAAAATATTTCAGGAGGTAAAGGTATAGATCAAAACAGGCAAAAAAGTCTTAATAAACATGGTTCCGCAAAGTAAGATTATTTGTTTTTTAAAACATGATGTATTTGCAATCTGATTAAACAAAAAAGAAAACGGCTAGTGAAAATTCTAAAAATTAATTTTAGTCCATACTAATACGTCCTTAAATATTTAACACCCTGTAAAACATATGTAACACAGTAATTACCACATTCTGCAATAAATATTTTAAATTGTTGCTCGTTTAGCTCTTTAATACAGAGCTAAAAATGTTGCAAAATTACATAAAAAGTATTTTTGGTTTGTTCGACTCGCAGGGTTATATGAATCAATCTGTATTATAGTAATTTAAAAAAATAACAATGGATTAAGTATTCTTTAAAGTAAAAATTTTTTGAAAAATATTTTAGAATTTATCAAAATATGTATTTGTCTTACTTTCGTTTAAATTAAAAGTTTTATAAACAAATGATTACTTAATTTTTCAACTTGACGTATTTATTTATGTCCACTGTAAATCTCGTTTTTTCCACACACAATTAGTGACAAATCCTGGCAATCTAAACAGTTTTTTTTTAATGGACGACAAATTACCTCTATAGCCACAAATTTTGTTTGCTTTTTGTTTTTGTTTCTAGATATTTTGTTATTAAGTATATGGTTATGTTTTCATATTCATATTCACATTTCTATGAATATTTTTTGACTTCCTGCAACTTTTTGTCTCTAAATTTCCAAAAACTGTTGACGGTACCGAATTCGTCCCTATTTTTGTGCTTCGTCTCTAAATGTGCTTATTTTAAAATTAATCAAAAACAATGAATTTACTAGTGGTGCCGACGTTAAGATTGTTTGACATTTTCAACTGAAAGTCGAACGATACAAACTCTCATATTTTCTAATTCATCAGCGACTAATTTTTCGGCGAGTCGTTTACTGTATGTGTTGGGATGGGGGGCTATAATGGATTTGGTGACGGGGTCCAAGGCGTTGTTTTTCATCCATCGGGACACTTCGATCACGTCGCGGGGGTTATCACGGCAATCGTAAACCTAAATTTTGATCAATATTTAGGATTTTCACAAATTATTGCAATTTTGTTGACATTAGCATATAAAAAAGTTCAGTGTTCTACGATAAATAGTTATCGAGAAAATTTGTGATAAAATCAAAAGTATGCAAAATGTATCCCCGACTATAACTTCAAAACTACTCGTATTAGGAATTTTGCAGTTTTTTTGACGCCAATCGATTCCCCGGAACATTTTACATAGGTTTACGTCAAAATAATATTATATCATTGAGACACAGTTTTGCCGCAATTTACAAAATAAAAAAAAAGTAAAAATTTGTTAACATATCTCAGATTCAATTTAAACCTATCTTATCCGATAGATTTTGACGCGCTGATTACAAATTTTCTAATCATTTTGCGCTATCTCCTTTAGTTTCGCCGTAATCGGCGTTTAAATATTCAAAAACTTTTTGCGAGATATTGACTTGGCTTTGGCCTCAGTCGATAGATTTTCTTACGCTGATTACGATGGAGTTGGACTGATTGCTCTAAGTCTAATAGTTTGGCCGTAATCGCCGTTCAAA